CCTTGATGATGTCACTTTATAAAAGTATTTGCATACTTATTTTACTCTCTCATATAGACAGGTGATTAGTGAGGGTTGAAATCATATTAGAGTCAAAACTCATATCTTTTACCTAATTAAATCATGATTTTCCTACATATCGCCAAGGATTAAGCCACCATAATCGTTCAATCATTGACAGAATCTCATCAATATAATTCACAAAGTATTATTACTAAAATTGTTGAATAATTCGTGATAAGAAAATCATAAATCTATCAAGTAAATCATCTCTAATTGATCGACAAATAAGTTGTCATCAAGAAGAGGACAATCTATTAGGAGACAAGTCACCACCTTCTGAGAGTATACTAAATGTGATGAAGAGCTTCCTCTTGCTGTACAGACTTAAAGATTAAGCTCTCTAAGATGCGTCCCACCTCCATCTAGTTCATCTTCGCCAATTAACAGACACTAAAGAGTTGCAAAGTCACTATTTTTCCGCTTTGTCAGGTGATAGCTATCAGAGATGATTCAATGACCCATTTTATTGATCTCTAAACTTTACGAGAAGATTTAGAGATTACCCATGTCATCTTTATCTAGGGAGAGCTTTTGAGGCCATAGACACTACACAATAATTCTCTCGAATATTTAAGATTTTGATGCATTGTTAATGCATCGTCATCAGAATATTTGAACTCTATTTTACTATTTTTAACTAATTTAATCTCTATCATCATTTTTTGAACTTTGAAAAGAGATATAGTGAATGCTTAAATGATATATGTTCAAGGAAAGCCTTTGAATTCATTGACATCATTTGATGATCCTCCCAAATATATAGAATTTTGACAATCATTGGCGTGAGGCTGGAACTCTATGTTTTTTACTTTTAACTTAAATTTTACTTCATTTGGTGATAATTTGTGTGATGTCAAGTTTCTAAATTATTCTTTTGACTTTTATAAATCTTAATTTGACTAATTAAATTATTTATAATTACTTACATAAGAATCATCGAATGAAATTCTATTTTCACCTTATGTGTGATTGTCGAGTGCTGACATCATCTTCACATGCACACTTTTTTTTTAATTTTAAATATATTTTATTTTTATTTAGTAGTATAAAATTTATAAAAAATATATTCTTTGTAAAAGATTAAAAAATATCTAATATTATATTAAATCCATGTGATCAACTTAGAATTTTTTTCACTATTTTTAAAACTTTCATTGAATTATAATTAATATATTTGTTCAAAAATACTTGTAAATATTTGAAAATTAATATTTTATAGTATTATAAATTTTAAATTTATGTGATTTATGATACAACAACTAAGTCACATCACTAACCTTATTTCTATTAATGCCATCAAACATACCCTTAATTATGTCACCTTTTTTTACCTTTTCTATTATTTCTTTTAAGACCTTCACACTAATCAAAAGATTTATTTTGAACGTGAAAGTGATCATGATATCTATGAGCTTGTGTTGGATATTCCATCATCGGAGCTTATTACTTTATTTTTAGTTTGTCTATTTCTTCTTCTATTTTGTGGCATCGTAGATTTTGTCATCTTTATTTTTCTAAACTTAAACAATCATTATCATGGTTATCTTTATTTGAGTTTGTGTGAGAGTCATGCCAAATGAGCAAACATCATCATTCTACTTTGCTAGTGATTCAATTCCCTCATCCCACGCATTCAACCTCATTCACTATGATGTTTGAAATCCTTTCCATATTCTATCTCTTTTGGGTCATCTTTATTACATCGTGTTCATTGATGATTATACTTGAGTCAGTTAGGTATATCTCATCAAAGATCACATGCAAGTTCTTGTCACTATCTATTAGTTTACATAGAAAATCATTACCCAATATTTCATCACTCTAAAAATTATTCAAATTGACAATACTTTAGAACTTGTCCAAATTACCTTCCAAAACTTTTATGTGAAATATAGAATCATCCATCAAACCACTTGTCCTTACATATTTCTTCAAAATAGTGTTGCAGAAGGAAAACACCACATTCTACTTGACATTACTCGCACACTACTGTATGAGATGCATGTTCCACACTATCTATGGTCTGATATGACCATAATTGTCACTTATCTTCATAATCGTCTTCCTTCTTCTCCTTTGGGTGATGCAATCCCTCTTACTTGTCTTTTACTATATGCTTCTCTCTTTTTCTTACCACCTCATGTGTTTGAATACATTATCTTTGTGCTAGATCATACCCCATCTTTATCTAAACTTACTCCTTAGGCATTAAAAGACATATTCATTACTTATTCACGCACACAAAAAGGATATCATATCTATTTCTCTACTACACGGCATTATATTACTTTTGCTAATGTCACCTTTCATGAAGATGCTCTCTACTTCTCTCCATCTCCTACTCTCCACGTATCTACATCTCTACCTTGGGATTTACTTCTACTCCATCATCTTTATCATCTTCTTCAGATATCTCCACTATCATTGCACCTTCTATTATGCCATCTCTTTCGCTCATCTCCAAGACTTATCTGACTCTACTGATGTCCATGATGCTTATTCTTGAGTCTCCATTGTATATGCCCTTGATGATCCTTTCACTTTGCTGGTCACCTCTTGCTCAATGTCAAACTCCACTCTACCATCACCTTCCACACCTACCCCCATGACCCACCTCTTAATGACGTTCACCTTCTTATTACCTTGTAATAGGGTACTCATACTTGTACCCAACATCTCATGGCCTAATTTGTATCCTATGACTATATCTTTCCCACCTATCTTATATTTACCATTGTCGTATCCTTCAAATTGTTGCCAATATGTATTATGAAGTTTTTCAAGTACTTGACTAGAAAGTAGTAATAGATCTAGAGTATCATGCCCTAGTGCATCGAGGTACATTTGACTTAGTATTACGCTTTACTGATGCCAACATTGTGACATACATATGAATTTTCACCTAAAGTATCATCTAGATGGCATCATGACTTGTCATAAGGCTTGATTAGTAGTTAGAGGATTCACTCAGGCTCATGGCATTAACTATATTGAGAAATGATTTCCGATTGTCAAAATGAACTATATTCAAGTTCTTTTATCTCTAGCATTCAATCTTGACTAATCTCTTTATCAGTTGGATGTCTCCAATATTTTTTTATATGGTGATCTATCGGAGTATGTTTTTATAGAGCAACCTTTGGAGTATGTTGCTTAAGGAGAGACTTCTTAAGTTTGCCTTATTCATCGTGTTATTTATGGACTCAAATAGAATCTTTGTGCCTAGTTTATAAAGTTTTACAGTCTTCTCACATCTTATGACTTTACCTCCTACAAGACTAATCTGATAGTGATACACAAGACCACATCTACAGGTTTTGTAGTACTTGTCAGATATATAGGTGACATTCTCTTAATCAATAGTGATGAGGCTAAATTTCTAGCTACTAAAGCTTATCTTCAGACACAATTTGCAGGCACTATCTTAGAGGAAGTATGCCTTAGATCTTCTCCAAGAGATGATGTTACTTAGGTGTAAATCAACTACATCACCTTTAGAGGCACGACCCAAATTCTAGGACATTGACTCACCTATGATGATAGATGCCAACCACTATTAGTGTCTATTAGGGAAGCTGATCTATTTGATAGCTAGTCACCTTAATATTACCTATGTTGTCAGTATTCTTAATTAATTTGCAGGAACCCTAGATGGTGCACTAAGAGGAGGCATTATGGGTTCTTGCATATGTCAAGTACCCCTAACAAAGGTCTTATCTATTAGCATTATGATCATCTTCATGTTGAAGCCTATTCTGACATTAAATATATTAAGGACAAAAGAGACTGAAAATCATGTTATGTCTCTTGTTAAATATATTTGGTCACTTGACGTTCCCAAAAATAAAAGGTCATCTCTTGTTCTAGTGCAAAAGTTGAGTACAAAGCTATGGCTACTATTACTCATGAGATAGTATGACTACAATTCTTTCTACAAGACTTGTGTATCATGACTCTAACGTCTATGTTTATGAGTTGTGATAACCAACTGGCTATCTTTATTGCTAAAAATTTTATCTTTCATGAGAATACGAAACATAATAAGATCAATTATTATTTTATCCATGACAAGATATTGAGAAGAGTTATTTCAACACCTCATGTGTCATCATTGAATCAACTTAGTAACATTTTCACCAAAAGTTTCATTAGTGTGTCGTATGATTGTCTAGAATCTAAGTTGAGCATGTTCGATTTATATGCTCTAGTTTGAATAGTGTTAGATACAATCCATTAGAGGGCTTAGTGTACATCTATCTTTCTCTCTCTATAAATAGAAGCTTGTACATTTAGTTTGACTGATAAGAGCCTATATAACTTTTCTTTAGTATGTAAACTCAGGACTTTTTATTTGTATTTTATTCTAATTTCATTTAATTAAGAGAAAACTAGATTGAGGCTGAGTAGAGCTCGAGACCCATGAAGACTTTATTTTTTAAAAAAATATAAAATTATTTAAAAGTACTTTATGTACAACCTTCCTTCCTCGCATATCCTAAAACCCAACTAAAGTAAAAATTATCCTTAAATTATGTGAGGCAGGACTGCCCTTGTTCCCAAGAACATGTTTACATTTAGTTCACTGGTGTTCCTCACCCCATCTGAAAATGCTAGACGAAATGGTCTGCTCGGCGTTATTTGCATTCTGTTCGTTCTTATCAGGGAGACATAGTTTAATCAAAACACCCGTCACCTGGCGAGGACGAAAGCGAGAAGATTGAGGGAGATCAGAAGGGACAAGCGTGGTGGGTCGAGCGTCCGCTAACTCTCCGCTCAAGGACATGAAAATCAGTTCCAAAAGAGCGATCGGAATTTTTATTGAAAAGAGAACGAGAAGATTCTAGTACCGGCAGCAACAGAACACGAAACCAACAGAGTACCACACATTCCGAGACGAAGAACGAGAAGAGAGAAAGGGAAAACTAGGGAACTACCAGATGACGCCGCAGAGAACTGATCAGCCGCCGACCGGGGCGGGGAATGGACCCGACCCAACCTTACTGTCCACCACGGAGGCGGAGCACCAGGTGGAGGGTGGATTCCTTTTGAATGTTGTAGTCGGCGAGGGTGCGGCCGTCCTCCAGCTGCTTGCCGGCGAAGATCAGCCTCTGCTGGTCCGGGGGGATGCCCTCCTTGTCCTGGATCTTGGCCTTAACGTTGTCGATCGTGTCCGAAGACTCCACCTCGAGGGTGATCGTCTTCCCGGTGAGGGTCTTCACGAAGATCTGCATACCTCCCCTCAGGCGGAGCACCAGGTGGAGGGTGGACTCCTTTTGGATGTTGTAGTCGGCGAGGGTGCGGCCGTCCTCCAGCTGCTTGCCGGCGAAGATCAGCCTCTGCTGGTCCGGGGGGATGCCTTCCTTGTCCTGGATCTTGGCCTTAACGTTGTCGATCGTGTCCGAAGACTCCACCTCGAGGGTGATCGTCTTCCCGGTGAGGGTCTTCACGAAGATCTGCATACCTCCCCTCAGGCGGAGCACCAGGTGGAGGGTGGACTCCTTTTGAATGTTGTAGTCGGCGAGGGTGCGGCCGTCCTCCAGCTGCTTGCCGGCGAAGATCAGCCTCTGCTGGTCCGGGGGGATGCCCTCCTTGTCCTGGATCTTGGCCTTAACGTTGTCGATCGTGTCCGAAGACTCCACCTCGAGGGTGATCGTCTTCCCGGTGAGGGTCTTCACGAAGATCTGCATACCTCCCCTCAGGCGGAGCACCAGGTGGAGGGTGGACTCCTTTTGGATGTTGTAGTCGGCGAGGGTGCGGCCGTCCTCCAGCTGCTTGCCGGCGAAGATCAGCCTCTGCTGGTCCGGGGGGATGCCTTCCTTGTCCTGGATCTTGGCCTTAACGTTGTCGATCGTGTCCGAAGACTCCACCTCGAGGGTGATCGTCTTCCCGGTGAGGGTCTTCACGAAGATCTGCATCTGCAAACCATAAAAAGGCATAAAAACCATTAGACGGTGAAGAATCCAGAGTTGAAATAGGCAGATCTGAGAGAAAATCGCCGAGGAGAAGATGAAATAATCAAACGAACAACAAAAACCCGAAATACCACAAGAGGAAGAAGTCCAAACCAAACGAAGAAGGTAATCTACTCTACCAAGACAGAAATCAGAGGAATTATCGAAGAGCAGAAAAGAAACCTAATCAAAACCAGGCGAAAAACTCGTCGTGAGGGAGCAACCAAGATCAAAGATGGATACCGTAAGAAGAAGATCTGTAATCGTAGAAATCAGGACTTACAATGGCTGGTGAACGAAGCGAGGCTGCACGAGGACGAGAGAGACGGCGCTCGAACAAATTTCTTGTGAACGAGGAGAGAAGAAGCAAAAGCGGTGCCCATTTTATAGCGGAGATATTTGGGGGCCTGCCGACCTTCGCGAAGACTCGAGGAAAGACTGGAACTTCCGTCGTGTTAGCCTCTCCACCGCAGAAAAAAGAAAGAAAATTCGTTCAACCGTGCTGATAAGATGGACCACTGGGTCTAACGTGGAATGTAGACTTTTGCCATTAAAAGAATTAAAAAAACCTCGTCGGGTCCTCCACGTCTTCCTGGGCCCCACTCTTTTAATGGTTGGCGCACGATGGCCTCACCTTATTCTTCTAAAAAGATAACTAAAAAATTATTTTTGGATGAATTATCCTGGAAAAAAAATGAAAAATTCCACAAAAGAAAGTCAACGATCCCAGGACTACAATTGCAGAATCACCCTCGTATATTGGGGTTTTAACTTTGACCTATTACACAGAAGACAAAACCAATACTTCCAAAGAAAATTAGATGTTTTGCTTGCATTAAGAGACAGAGCTAGAGAACTCATATGCACACACATCACAACAAAATATAAGGAAAAAAAAGTCAAACTTTGCCAGAGATTGTGGCAAACATTACTATTTATGTATCATCTTTCAAAGACCATTTTTAGAAACCAAGGATATTTTGGTAGCATTTTCTTTTATCAGCTAAGTGCTATCCATCAAGTGTTGAATGCCTTTGCTTTACTCATTATCTTTGGCTTGATTCTTCCAAGCTGTGAAAAAACAACCCCATTTTTTACAAATGAATTAGCCCCAAATTGAGAGAAAATATACTACTAAGTATGTCACATTCATTAAGATAGATAAATAGATACATATATACATATAGAGAGAGAAAGAAAGAGAGAGAGAGAGAGAGAGAGAGAGCTATAATTAGCAAGTTAGTTGTGATGTCCTTGTCTCCTATCCTAACCCAATCTACTTTTCCACTCATTTCTCCTGTTTTGGATGTGCCTCATTAAAATAATTGCTTTAGGTGATCATGTGAACAAAATAATTCCTAGATGACTCAACTAGGAAAATGGTTTGGAGATGTTTCTAATTCCTGCATCTCACAAGAGAATATGAATTCCTTGTGTAATGATGATCAAATGCTTGAATTATATAGTTGGCCTAGTTGAGTATCTTATTACTTTACAAAAGGATGAGATAACTTGCACCATGCACTTACTATTAAAGTATCCAACCAAAGGGGTTACATTCAATGGATGAAGAAAATGGGGGCCCATTCAAGATAGAAGATAGGATCTTATTGCCACCAATAACTAAGCAAATGAGACCCTTACCCTTACCATGTTCAAGGTAGGACTAGTGGAAAAACTTTTGTTGACTTTGCATGGGTTTTCTCTATCATGTATCAAGCAAATGGGGAAAATATTGTTGACTTTATATGGGGTTTTGCTATCAAGAATCAAGAAAATGAGATTGTTGTTATGTTCAAGGCAAGAGCCTATGTAACTATGAAGTAAGTTTTAGCATAAAAGTCTGATAGAACCATATAGTAAGGAAAAAATATAGTATCAACTAAATAGCTTATTTGAGCTGAACATTAGAACAGTTAAGTCTAGTTCCTCTAATCCTTTGTAAAGTTGTTGATTTTAAGAGGGTACAAGAGGAACCCATTAGGTGGCGAGTGAATTAGTTTTTATGTTAACTTTAGTAATTTTTAGTATTCTATAAAGGAGAATTAAAGGTTGATAGCCATTCGAAATATTTAGCCTACTCCGTCATCTTATATAGTTTGGTTGTATTAACACTTCATCAATAAGATTAAAAAGTGTTGAAATTTACAAGTGTGATATATTGATCAACATGAGCATTAAAACTTGTTCTTATCTAGTGAGTCAACTCACTTACTTTATAAGATATTTTTGTTTGATGTCAGCTCTTTTTACAAGGTGTGTTGACTCACTTATCGTTCGAAAGTGAAAGCACAACTTTGGCAAGCTATAAATCTAATTTAGGATACTAATTCAGAAAAATGAGAAAAGCTTAAATTTTTTGACCTAGTTTGGTTTGGAAATTTTAGAAGATGTAATACATAGGTTTTCAAGCCTAAAATACAATCAACTAGACCTAAAAATGGTATGATAATGCATTAAATTCCCAAGGCAAATAACTATTCCACTTTTTATTTCCTTTTCTTAACTAATCTGATTTTGGCTTGTTTAAAGGTAAGCTTGTTATGAATGTAGAGAGAGAATAAATTTGCCCCTAATGTTCCACAATGGTATTAGAAAATTCCACAAAGAGAACACATATTCAACAATCCCTCTATGTTCCACAATGCATGCCCTTTATGAATTTAGAGAGAGAATAGTCTATATTCCACAAGACACCTATCAAACATAAATCATTGTGAACTCAAGGACTGAGGAGCTCATGCCATGTGGAATTTACTAATTATATTAGTTATATGATACTATCATGTTATATCATTATGTGGCAAGCACTTGTTGTGCTAACTCATGCTTAGACTTTACAAAAGTTCTATTTATCAACACATTTTATAAGATTGTATCCAAATTATTGGCAAATTATATGGGATCCAATCTACTTATTGAATGTCATTTAATTTTTACCAAGATTTATTCATACATTTCTTCACACAATCAATGATCTTATCACAACTTAGAAAAAAAAATGAGCATTAGATGCAAGGAATGCCATATGAAAACAACCCTTTTAAGGTAATTTTTTGATAGGTAGAGTTGCTTTTGCTTCCTAGTTTCTTTTTTTTCTTTTTTTTTTTTTTCTTCTTGGGGAATTGGTGGTGATGAAACCTTGCAACTCTTACGACCCATTCCATTGACATGGTAAGCCCATTATTTTCCTCATCTTGAGGCAATTGGGACCGCCACTAGCAGTATAGTTTTGTTCTCAGAGTGAGTCATAATAGAATATTCGGCAAATATTTTTCTCGATGAGGCTTGGGTTGGTGGATTGTGGACCGTCAGATGGGATCGGACGGTGGACGGGGGAGCCCCCGCCGACACGGCCAAAAAAGCCTTCTCGACGGCCTCCTACCCCTATAAATAGCAACCTGTGGACGGAGGAAGAGCCAAGTTTATTCTCTTCTCTTGGTCGATTCCCGTCACTGTCATCTTCCTTCGCGTCTGCCCAAGTTCGCTGCCCCATCTTTCAATTCAGGTGCGACTCTTCTCCTACCAGGGTTTCGTCGTCCCTCGTTCTTTCCTTTGTCTCTCTATCTCTCTATCTCTTTCTGTCGATATTTCTAGGGTTTCGTTGTGACCTGTTGCCAGGGATTTTTTTTCTCCGGTCGATTCTGTGAGGATTCCCTTTTTTTTTGAGTTTTTGGGGTTTTGTTGTTGTGTTTTTGTTTCTTCGTTCGATTCTGAAGAGTGGGGGTGGGTTTGCAAAGACAGTTTTGGATTTGGGATTGGGGAACGGATGATGGGGTTCTTTTCCTATCGGGGTGTTCTTGGATCGATTTAGATTTAGATTGAGATGATCTGTGGATCGTTTCCCTCGAGGTTTGAACAATTGTGTGGTCTATATATTTGGAGATTTAGAACGGGTAGATTTCTTTGAAAGATCCTACTCCTGATCTGAAGATTTCTTTGAGATACATATACCGCGAATTTCGTCGGCTTAAATTTCTGTTGGGATTACATGTTTCGAATCAGGATTCTATTCCAACTGGCTTCCCATCCAAGTCATTTATGTTATTAATTTCTGAAACTACTACGCTTGCATCCTGTGAAGTTTAGAATTTACTATTTGGAATAGTTAAAAATTTACGATTTCCTCCTAGTTTCTACCTTCGCCCTACCATTTATACTAAAAATCTCCACGACCACGGTACTTTCTACTGTGATTAGTTGCGCAGTCATGAGCACGTCTTATTTCCGCTTCCTTAGTTGTCGTGTATTCTCCGTGCACAAGTATTTATTTATTTATTTTTTTACTCTGGTTCTGCGTGATCTTTCCGTAAATTATATATTCGTAATTAAAATTGTTCTTGATGAGAATCTAGGGTTTACTGGGATGATTTAATTTTTTATAATTTATGCTTCACCATCGTTTATTCTTCTATTTGATGGAAATCTGACGAGATTGGATCCTTTGATTGCAGGGCAAAGCTACTCTCTCTTGTTTCTCCTATCAGCCAAGTGTTCATGTCTGAGCTCGACGTCCAGATCCCCTCTGCCTTCGGTACGGATTGCTTCTGTTTGATTTATTGGGCCATTCACCTTAAAACCAGTTGGCTTTGGATGGTAATCAATTTGGGACTACACTAAACATGGCCCTCATTTGCAAGCTTACTCATTCAAAGCCATAGATGAGGCTCATTCAGCCCACCTAACCATCAGCTCTGATATCATCATGTTATTTCTATTGGGCCATCTCACTCAATACCAATTGGGTGTGAGTATGATAGTCACTGTTTAATTCTACAATAACTAATACGGAACTAATCTCAACAATTAATCCTAGCCCAAGAGCGCCAGTCAGCTCTGACATCATGTTAGTTTTATTAGGTCATCTCATTCAAAACCAAGAGGCTTTGACCACTTAGTTATTGACAAGATTTCATTCTATCTGACCGGTATGCTATTTTGTTGCCCACCCCTCGGTGCAGATCCTTTCGCTGATGCGAATGCTGCGGACTCTGCTGCGGGCACAAAGGAGTACGTGCATGTGCGTGTGCAGCAAAGGAACGGCAGGAAGTGCTTGACCACGGTGCAGGGGCTGAAGAAGCAGTACAGCTACAGCAAGATCTTGAAGGACCTCAAGAAGGAGTTCTGCTGTAATGGTACCGTTGTTCAGGATCCAGAGCTGGGCCAGGTACCACAGACTAGGGTTTTTTCAGTTTTATGTGCAGTCAAGTATCCGGATATTTTTCTCACCATTGGTTTGACTTATTTATCTATTTATGTAACTCTTTGGAGATACTCCTGCTCTTCTCGTGGGGTCGAAGTTATATTTGTTCAGACGAAGTTTTTGTTTTTTTTTTTTCCGTAGCCAAATGTTCAAGCCTGGGGAATTAAGAATAAGTAATGAGGCAGGGCATTTAATTAGAGTATAGAAGGAAAAAGTCAAATATTCAGTGGAAGAACTGGAGGTCCTTTTGAACATTGTCCTCTAAGAGGAAACCACTAAATCCTCGCCTAGGGTTTCGATTGCATTCCGCACCGTTGACTTTCTGCTGGTTTCTTCCCCCTTTACTCATACCATTTGATTTACTTTCCGCAGGTAATCCAGCTGCAAGGTGATCAGAGGAAAAATGTTTCCACCTTCCTTATTCAGGTACATTCGAATAAATAACATTTAATTTCTGTCTTTGAAGGGTGCATATGATTGTGGATTGGCCTTAAGAACTAGGTCAATTTACCCTGCAATTGTTCTTTCTATTTCCTGCTATGATAAGTCAGTCAAAATAATCGATAAGTCTTCAAGATCTTGATCCTTGGGCGATAATATTTCCCCACAAACTTTAGTGGCCTTCTGTGCGGATTTTCCCTGACCTCAAGACTTTGTCACCTTCGCTCCTCAGGCTGGGATTGTGAAGAAGGAGAACATCAAGCTCCACGGTTTCTAAGGTGGCGGCTGGCAGTGGCGGCAGCAGCGGCGGTGGCGGCTGTGGCTGCTCTTCCTATCCGGTTATGTGGGCTGCCTCCACATTTGAAAAGGAAATAAGTTCATCTCTAAGCTTGAAGTTGTCTCTCTCTGTTTGTGGCAATCGTTGACTTCCCCATTCAGTGGCCTGATGGCTCTTGTCGAACGCTTCATCATCGTCAATAATAATAGTACTTTCTTTGGTGTTCTGAATCCCTCTCCTCACCATATTATGCCCAGTACTCACATACCCCTAACGAATAATGCGAAATATTTAATTTATTATATATATCATAATTTCTTTGGCAGCGATTGTTATGGCCAATTTTAGTAAAAAATCATGATATTTTCATGCCGAAAATAATAACAATCCCAGAATTCACAATCGTGTTTATTTTCTAATTAGTGATGTAATTAGTGGTAAATATGATGATAAAAATAATAATTTTTTTCCTAAGATGGGAAAATTGGGTCAGCATTCGATTATTGATGGGCAAAACCAAAAATAGGCTGGGCCCATCACAAAGCCGAAAAAATTGTCTTTTTTCCCTCACTGGCGGGTGGAGAATAATGAGTCCCCTTTATGGCCGTGGGATTCCTTGCGTAATCTCGCCGCGGCGGTGGCGGCAACGGTCCACTATAAAAGCACCACCATCGGCGGCGGGCGGCGGGCGGCGGCGGCGGCGGTGGCGGCGGCGGAGGGATGGACGTTGCTGCGGCGGAGGAGCGGCGGTGGGAGGCGGTGGCGATGGCCTTCGTGGAACACTATTACCACCTGTTGGACACCAGCAGCCCGTCGCTGGCCGGGCTCTACGATTCTACCTCCCTGCTGTCCTTCGAAGGCCAGCCGGAGTTCGGCGCGGAGGCGATCGCCCGGCGGCTTGCGGCGGCACCGCCCTTTGACCGGTACCGCCACCGCGTCTCGACGGTGGACTGCCAGCCGTCGCCGCCCACCGGGGGCATCCTCGTCTTCGTTAGCGGCAGCCTCGAGCTCCCTGGCGAGGAGCACCGCTCCGGTTCAGCCAGGTTCTCCACCTCTCTCCTTCTCCCACCCGCCGAGCTTCCCCCATCGCCATTAATGGCGGTCTCTCCTCCCTCTCGTTGCAGATGTTCCAGTTGGTCCCGACCCCGCAAGGGGGCTTCGTCGTGCAGAACGACATCTTCCGCCGCCTCTACACCTGATCGGCACCGCTCCTCCGTCGTCTTCCTCCTCTACATCTTGCTTCTCTTCGACTGCTTTTCTCTCTCCCTCACTGTTGAGGACAGCGGACGAGGGATGGCCGTCGCCGGCGCCGGAGAAGACGGCCGGCGCATCCACCGGCGATGGATAGCAACTGCCGAGTATATATGAGAATATATGAAGAAAATATTGCCCCACGATCGTTACTAAATTGGAAGTATATATATAATAATAATAAGTTATGTTTCGATCCTTAATAAAAGGTTGATTCGAGAAGGAGAGATAGTGGAATGGGAAAATTTCCGAAGGCCCCACAGAAAGTAAACACACGACAAAAACCCACAGAAGTTTCTAAAACTACAAACGTGAAGCCAACGACCGTGGAACAATTGCACCACGCATGCATTAGTGGAGGTCGGTGGATGGATGAGCTTACTCATAGAGGTAAAACTAGGGTTTAAATTGTGATACGGCCAAAAAAAATGGCGCTTTTGACAAAAAAGAGTAACCCGGGAAAGAACGATGGGTAAAGCCGTCCTCGGAGGGCCGAACGTGTCGGGGACGAAGAATCTCAACAGGAATTACAGCAGTTGAGCGGCGGTGGCGGCGGCGGCCGCCGTTTTGGTCAAAACAGCGGCGGTGGGGGTGATGGCGGCCGCCGTATGCTATGATTTTTATTTATACCAAACATTAGGTATTTCTTTTAAAAATTGCGTAATTATTGACGTCACGTCCAGAGGCCTTGTTATCCAAAGGACTGGAGCCACTCCTTCCACGAGGCAAGAGCGGGGCTTATCTTTCTTCTTCTTCTTTCGCCAATGGCTGCCTCGGCGGCGGCGGCGCCGCCGCCCCTCCGTCTGCCCTGGGCGGCGGGGCACCTCCGGCAACGGCGGCCCTGCCGCCTCCCCGCCGCCGCCTGCGCTCCCTCCACCCCACCGGAGCCCCCCGGATTTGAGCCCCTCCCCAAACCATACGAGACGCCGCCGCAGCCGGTCTTCGACCTCGAGCCGCGTCGCCGGCCGTCGGCCATCACCCCCGAGCGGCGCCGTGGCGGCGGCGCCGTTCAGCGGCCGGAGCCCCCGGACCTGCAGATCGGGTGGAAGCGCACGAAGGAGATCAACAACGAGCCCCCCAAGGGGTGGGTGATCGCCGACTTCCTGGACAAGCTCGAGTCCCTGATGGGGAGGGGCCAGTACGGCTCCACGGCGCTGCTGGCCAAGGTAGGGGGCATTGTGGCGGAGCGAGCCCGCGAGGAGGCGGCGGTGCTGGTCGCCGGCGGCGAGGTGGACGAGCGGAAGGTGACGGAGCTGGAGCGGGTCCTGAAGCTGATGGAGATGGACCTGGAGATGGTGAAGGCGGCGGTGAAGGAGGAGACGCTCCGGGAGAGGGTGGAGGTCGCCAGGGCCCGCTGCCGCCAGGCCATCCTCGTCGCCATGTCCCTCTGATGAACCTCTCAAACTCAACTGGTGGTGCATGCATGCTTGTTTCATCAATGCAAACACCACTCCCTCCGCCCGTTTTTCCTTCTTACTGGAGCAGGTGGAGCTTCTCTCCGGGAGAGGGTGGAGCTTCTCTCTCTCTCTCTTCTCTGTGAAAATTCAGCGTCGAGGTGTAAAACAATAAGTTAGTTTTCCATGCCAAGATAAGAAACATGCATATTTCCCCACCCTTCTGTGAAATTGATTCTTTTTTAGGGTTGAACAAAACAGATTTTACCATTCAAATGTTATATTAGTGCTACTCCTCCCCCCCTCCAAAATAAATAAATAAATAAATAAAAACTAAAAAATGAACATATTATGGCAGCAGTATTTTCAAACATTTTCGTCTAAAATTTTAGGGGTTTATTTGAATTAATTTCTTTTTTAGTGTTTGAACTAGATATATTTTGTTACTCGCATGTTATATGAATACTATCATTTTTAAGATCTCTGAAGTAAAAACACTTTACTACTCACATGTTATGTTACAACTATTTTTCTAGACAATCAAGAAAGCAAGCACCATATGATAAGAGTATTTTCACATAAGTTTATCTAAAAACTCTAAGCATTAATTGAATTAATTCCTTTTTTAAGCTTTCAAATAAAAATATTTTATTACTCACATGTTTATTATGCTTTTTTTTTCTTCCCCAAATTAGCAAATATTCAAATGAGAACTTTGAAGGCCAAAAAGGGAAAGGTTCAATGTGAGCAATACTTGCATGCACATGGGTTAGTTGATCCACATGGCAATTGATGGTGATGTCAGTGAGTACTGAGAAGCCAATGGTGGCCCCACTTTTAGGGCCATGGTTTGGTCAACTTCAATTTGGAGTGATTCAATTTGGCTCTCGACAAGGGAATGTGGATTATATCATTTTTTACTAAAGGAAGGGATAATCAATGTGCAATCCTATTTACTTATCTTGATGATATACTCTTTACAAGTGATGACTAACATGAAATAAAAACAATGAAAGAATATTTTATAAATTAAAACTTGAAAGATAATATTGTATTGTTATCAAAGTTACATAGTCAAGAAAATAGATATATATCTACCAAAGGCTATACACTAACTCCTAGGTAACACAAGAAAGTTGGGATACAAATCATTTGCTACACCCATTAAGGTAAACACTACTTAACTAACACTGATGGTGATGAGTTTTCCACAATCTAAATACACTTACCAACACAGTTGTTGATAGCTTATTACACATCTCTTTGAGTAGACCAGATCTAACTAATGATGTGAGTATAGTTAGTCATTATATGCACACTCCCCACACTATTCACATGCAGGTTGTAAATCAGATGAGGTATTTGAAATCTTGCTCAAGGAAGGGATTATTATTCAACAGATCACATCATAGATCTATACACAAAATAGTGTTGTTGAGAGTCAGTTTAATTATGTGGAGAAGTAAGAAGCAAATACTAATGGCTAGATCAAATGCAAAAGATGAATATAAGACCATAGACCTATAAACTAATAGAGTTATGTGGCTGAAAATCATCTGACTGACAACCAACTATATTGAAATTAATCAACACTTTATTATATGAAAACTTGATGTAAATGAATTACGTCTATCATTTCTACATCCAAAACACTGATCACACCATTAAAGAATGGCCCAACTTAGCAGAAGGGAAAAAAACCCTATTAAAAGAGGAAAAAATACAGTCCAATCCTTAGCCCTAATCTACAACAATCTCCATGACGTAGCCTACACAAGTAGGCTCTCCATCAAAGAACAAAAGCTCATGGCTCACAAGAGTCTTTCTTATCAAGCCCTCGCATATTGAAGACTTGCTTGCGCCACTCCCTTATCGGAACCTGCAGAAGGGTTCAGTGAATTTCACAGAGCAAGGATATGTTATTCTGAAGATAAAGAGTCAGACCCTTGCTGGCACCCAGTTGGCATTTAGATGTTTACCGCTGGAAAGCCTGCATAGTCACCCGGAGATAGTATATCTTTTGTGACACCAGTGTTCGCCGCAAGCCGAACCTACCGCCAAATTTAGCAATAAATCATGATGAACTCAAGAAGAATGGCTACAGGAGATGGCTATTTAGAGAAAAGCCCGGAAATATAAGCAACCCTGAGACCAAAATATACTGCTAGTAAGTAATAGAAGGACCATGGGCTACAACTGCCAACAGTTACTGATAGAAGTTAGAGCCTTGGGTTTCTTATGTTGGCCAAGCCCGAAGCTAGCTTGGCCCAACATTCTCAAATTCAGCATCATGGACTGAGAAGAAATGGCAACAGGGGGGGGGGGGGGCTACATTTGCCTAAATTAGCAATAAATGGTAGATCTATGAGTTTCAGTGGGCTGGATAAGCCTGAACCCCAGCCCACCCTTCTCTCCTTAGAGAATGGACATTTAGAGAAAAATCCAGAAGTATAAGCAAGCCGAAGATCTACATTTACAGATGACAAGTAATAAAAATAGGTTAAAATCTGGACGTTTCCGTTCATGAGTCATGGTGCTTGGAAATGGGCGAAAGAAGAAGGAAATGAATAACACACCTTCGATGTGATGGAAACATGATCCCCTACTGCTGCCCTGCCTGCCATGGTGACATAATCCCCTATTCTGCAGAGGATAAATACCATAAATAGTTATATATATATATTCAGAATCACATGGTAGTTTCTAAACATCAGAAGGAAAATGGAGAGATTGGATCTGAAGGTGCCATACGTCACGGAGCCTGCAATACCCACTTGCCCACAAAGGATGCAGCTCTTTCCGATGATTACATTGTGGCCTATCTGCAAAACATAGAAATATTTCATAAAACAAATGCCCCACCAGGCCTGGCCCAGCACTCATCTGGGCCAGATCAAGCCTTTAAGGAGATCCTGTCTCATAAGTGTAGAAGCCCATCTCCCTGCCACATGTTCAAGACTTGGCAGATGCCCCGTGTGTCAATCACCAACATGACCAAGGTCCTGGCCAATGCCTTATCAAACATGTTCAAGACTTGGCAGGGCGTCACAAGGCCTGATTCATACCCATTCTCACCCAAGGACTCTTCACGAACTTTAATGGAATTTTTTTCTAATGAGACATGGAGCCCTTGCAAGCTGAATGAAGTAAAAAGTGGAAAGATTTCTTACCTGGACCAAGTTATCTATCTTTGAATGGTCTCCAATGACAGTATCCCTCCAACTTCATTAGAAAAATGAGATAGAATGCAATTAAAACAACGGTAGGTAATAAAAGAGAGATTTATGGCAACGGGAGTAGATAGCCGAAATATGTTTGATGAATATAAAATAAAATGGAATGAACCAGTAAGAATCCAATCTCACCTTCCCCTATCAATGCATGTATTAGCGCCCACGTCCACATAATTACCTATCCTGACATGAAGCATCTGCAGCAAGAGCCCAGCATTGTAACCATTAATGGCAACCCAGCAAGATAGTATGCATTTGATGAACGGTTTGAGCGCATGTAGTTGGTAATTTAGTTTCACATCAGAGAGTTGGATTGATGGGTGAAAAAGTAGAAATCAACAGATGATATCAATTGAAAAAAAAGGCCACTGATAAAATTATGGTCATTAAAAGTGTAATAAAGACAAACAGAGAAAAGTAACACAGAAAAATGGATGCAAAGCAAAATATGCTCCACTAAGATATCGTATAGATATATGTATAGATAGATAACAATGTACATAACATCATTAATTGATCTTACTACCACAAAGAAACTAGAAACTGATTCCTTGAAAGGTTCTGAATTAGATTCTACTCAAGAAGGTAATGACTATCTGATATGAGGATAGCATTGCAACAAGAAGTAGCATACTTGGGGCCTCTTCTGCATGCATCCGTCCTCATCAACATAGAATCCAAACCCTGTTCAAAACTGCTTAGATGTCATGAAAATGGAAAAAGAAAACTGGAAAGCACTTCACTAACACCATCCAGTTCAGAAGAAAACCTACAGTTCTTTAAATATTTAACTAAAAAATACCTAGCATCTAATTATCATCCAACATTTAGCATGAAATAGGAGATAACTTTCTAGATGTTTATACCCACATCTAAATACACATATGTACCAGTAGTGTCTTAGCATCATACTAAGCAACTTCAAGCATTTTGATCAACTGTTAAGAAATAGAGTGTCCATCCAACTAATTATCACACATTTCTAGTAAATACAAGTAAGATGATTCATGTGCTAATCAACTGGGCTTATAGTTGAAATTTACAATGCAGTCCTTTAAGAACTATAAAAAGGATTAAAAGTTATCTTTGCCAAGGGAGACTGCCTAAAATGCTATCAAGTAAAATCCATCTTACCATCTTGACCGATGCATACACCACTGTGCATGATACAAGAGATACCCACCGAGCAATTACTTAACACCGCATTATACCTACATACATAATCATCCCATAATTAGATAGAAAGGCATACTCGAGATGAACGTTGGAACTGAATATTCAGCTAAAGCAAGAAACCAAGAACAATAACCATAAACACGGTGTATAGTTATTTGAAGCATCGTGCACTAATAATTAATAACTACATATGTAGGTACATCTGCACCACAACATATTAGATTCACAACTTTGGTGAAAGGGTAAATAATCTGTTTTTTTATTGGTAGATTCCCTCCACCCATCTAGAAACCCTAGGGGAACTTTGATTCAACACCACCCCTATGGTAGAAATAAGCACACACTTGTGAAGTGATCCAAGATTGAAATCTGCCAACTGTTTCCGATTAACTACTCCTCATCAATTATTTCATCTACAGGAGATGCAAAATAATCAGCTTCATTATGCTAAAGGCTTACTAATATTGGATGCCTAATGGGCTGTCTTTACATCCTCTTGTAAACACCCTACAGTGAAATGCCTTTCGAACATTCGTCCGAAAGTTTAAGAATCTCCATATGTGAACTCATAGAAATGAATGCAACGACATGGAAACCAGTTGATGCCCATATACACTTTGTATTGGATATGCTTACTTTGCACTGACATATGAAATTTTGTCTCCATGAAATTTCGAACACTAAGTAGATTTCCCTGTTTGGCTATTATGAGATGCCCATTATTCTTTCAAACCTTGATGGCAGCCAAATATTTCTCCCATTCGTTAATATCAGATGGATTCATACGAAAGATGCATCAGCATCTATCCGGGCCAACTGCAATTTTCCCTGAAAGAACTAAGTACAGGATAATGGAAAAAAAACCCAAGCTTTAAATGAATATCTTCACTTAATGCAGTCTCAATGTAAGAAAACTGGTCATTTATTCAACCATTACCCTATCTTTGTTGACTCCCCAATTGAAACAGAGGGCCCGATCACAGCACCTGACCCAATATAAACATTCGGGCCAACTATGGCGTTTGGATGAACCACCGCTCCAGTCTCTATCTGTGCATTCTGATCAATTACTGCTGATCGGTGGAAGTAGCCACCTCCATTATGCCACCGCCTAAAGTCAGAGTAGAAATTCCGATCTTCCTCTGCCCTCAAAGCATCATAGTGTCAACATGCAGAAAGACCCCAATGAGACAAAGAAATTATGGCATCAAACATGAAAGAAATATAAAGAGCGGACAAGAGGTTAACTAACTTACCAGACGGCAGGGGATTGCTGATGGGTGATGTGCTAAACATGAGGAGCGGGGTTGTGGAGCTACCCCTCCGATGCTTTGACAGTAAATGATAAGCCTCAGTTGCCGTCCTTCTCATCACAACCAAAAATAAAAGCCTGTATGGCAGAGTAAAATGTTCCTCAGAAATAAAATGGCCTTCATCTTCCCAGATTTTTGCTTTCTGGGCTTTCTTTCTTTACTTGCAGTAGATGTGAAACTCATTTGACTTGGATCAGAATTTCAAAAGAAAATGACTTGGGCTACACTTTATTTTCCATCGGGCACATTAAAAAAATTAGATATGTACAATTGTCTAGATGATAGAACAGATGACAGAGCATTGGATTCCTTGTGAATAGGAACCCAGGAGCAGGACGGATCATATCAGGATGAGACTCCGACAGGATGACAGGGGAAGCCAAGCAAGAAGCCTAAATCCAAGAGTGGAGAATCATTCATGTGAATATCGGTAGGGTACGGTGCACTGAGATCCCAGCGATGGGACATAGAAGAGAAGGAGAACAGGAAATCGAATCACGAGCTCGCCTTCCTCAGAGCCTGCAAGATTCATCGTGCTCTGCACAGGCTCGTCGAATGGCGTGATATTGCAGAAGAAGAACGAGGAGCAGAGGGAGAGAGGGAATTCCAGAAAGGAAACGGGAGCTGAATGGGCAGAAGTAGGACGATACAGAGGATGAAGGTCAGCACCACGTCGGTCTTTCAGATAGGCTTTCCCTCCTGTGCAGACAGGATTTGGAAGCAGCCACTAAAGCTCCTTAAAGGCGGCCGCCGACCTCACAACCCCACCGAAGGCCACAAGACCACGGAGGATTCCCAGGGCGGCGCCTTATCTCGCAGCGGTCACACTCGGCGGCGTTTCTTCCCCTGTGGTTGGAGTTGATCACTAGCTCTTCTGTCAACGGTTCCTCGAAGTCTGATCGAAGCTGGATGTCGAGACCCAGAAGGAAGCTTTGGAAGATGAGGAACGCCGGGGCTCGATCAGTGGGAGATCCAAAGGAAGGAGTGAGAGAGAGAAGGAGAGGAAGAGTGGTGCCGTCGGAGGGAGATGGAAGAAGAGGAAGCGATCCTCTTCAAGTGGCACTCTTCGCTGATAGTTTCGAAGCTTAGGAGTCCAAGTTCAGAAAATTTTGCCAAAAATAGTCTTTACCCACATTAATTTATCAGGCCTAATAAATAAGAATGAATACTTCTAAAGAAAATCAGTACCTTATTCACGTTCATGTGCAAAAAAAATATAATCAATGAAACCTCCGTAAAATAAATTGAGAAAATCTATTTCAGTGCCTTCTCCACATAAGATGCACACAACTATTTGATTTCAAGCTACTCCTCTTGGGATTTATACTTGAAAAGAAGTGTTTAGTGGCTTTCGTGTAGATACCACTAAAAATCATAATTATTTGAACTGACCTAAAAAATATATATTAGTGACTAAGATGATTGAAGTTATAAGTAGCCTTTTGTAATGGGCAAATCTAATATACAATCCTATTCCAATTTGTGTGTGTGTGTGTGAGAGAGAGAGAGAGAGAGAGAGAGAGAGAGGATATTCCATGAATAGTCAAAGAAAACATGAACTTTAGGATATGCCTACACTTAGGGAAATGCTAAGAGTTTTTATTGTAAGTTGTGTGATAAATCAATGTTACAAGGATGGATGATTCTAAAATGTGATAGTTCTATCTAGTTGATCAGGTGATTTCATTAGTCACACGTATAAATGAATATGCATCATCACCAAGGCACACATGGCATAAAGTAGGACACAATTGTGGTTCAAGTGGTAATGTTGGAATATGATGTCACATAGGTTGACTAAAGTCAACATGCAGAATCCAATGAGCATCATGGCCTTGGAGGTCCATGCATTATCCTCACATTACTCCACTACCTGCTCCCTTAGTATTCATGTTGATGGTGAAGCATAGACTGATGTTATATACAACGTCATTGCCCACAAGAAGGCTTGTCAAGGACCTATGTTGCTGCTCATACAATAGTGTTCTCTTGCTTGTGAGACAATCCCATTTGGGTTGATCACTATGTAATTTTGAAAAATATTTTTCTTTCATGAGAGGATGTGAGAGATTTGGTAACTTAAATAACCATCTCTTACAAACCCATGGCCTCACTCAACATGAACTGACATATAAAGGGATGTTCTTCAAAATTGTATAAATTCTCCCATAGTACTCTAATCTGCATGGTCTCTTTGGGTGCTTATTTTCGTTCTATCAACCTCCCTCATGACTTGGGTTTTCCTTTCCTTCATTTGAGTAATTACACAACTACTATTGACTATTGCATCGGGTTTTTCATATCCCTAGGTGATCATTCTTATATAGTGCTTCAATCTTAGGCTTTCCTCTTAATCTCATCTTTACTTTTAGGCTTGAATGTTGTGGAACAAGTTGATTTGTGGTAACTTCTTATTGAAAAAATCTTACGATAGACTTGTATTACATGCATGTTATTTATTAGGCATGGTATGCATTGAATCTTTTCTATAAACTTGAAAGATTGTAAGGCCAATTGCTCCTTTGATGGCAAGAATGAGTGTGTCTCTAGCTCAACAATCTTGGCCTTATATTTGATATTTTGAAACTTTGGAAAACTCAATATTACAAGGGAAAAAACTATAAGAATAGATGATGAACTCATGAGTAGTCATGTGTTGGATTTTAAGATAGCACTGCACTAAGAGAGGGGTAAATTGGTAATATTATACTTCTTTTCTTCCTCTTAGGATTCAGGTGACAAGATATAAATTCTACACATTATTTTTATAGTAGTTTGATCACTAAACTTACTCCACTCTCCAAGTACCACATGTTACCACTTCAATGGATTCAACTAAATCCTTGATGAAATACACATTAAATTATAAGAGTCAATCATCTTTCAACTAGATTCAACAACTCTAGTTAGGTCAAGATTTCACATAATAATCATTTCCCAAATTCACAACTCTAGGGGTTAGACTCACTCCTCTCTAGGGAGTTAGAGAAGATTATCACCAGCTACTTTCTCCTATATTAAGACTCTAATAATGCCAATGTACTCTAAATACAAATAAAGAAAATGTTATCATTCTTATCATTAAGCTCCTCAAGTTTTGGAGGCTCCAATCCTCTAAATTATTTGTCAAGGAAGGTTTAGTGTGGAGGAGACTTATATGGGCTTAAGCAACAAGTAGTTAACAATAGTTTTCAGTGCTCAATGATTTAGTAATCAATTTTAAAATTTTCAAAGGTGTTGGATAATGACACCTTTTTAGATTCTCTTAAAATTTTCTCGAGTTCTTCTCATCATGTTCTTAGCTCAAGTATGCTAAAATATCTCTTTATATAAAGATGCACATTGAGATATGATAAGTTTTCATTATCATAAGTTAATAATTAATTAATAATATAATTTTAACCTTAACTCATAATAAATAGACTTATATTTATGTTAAATTATGAAAAATGATTTTTAGTCAGTTAATGTGAATTTTTGATTAATTATGTGATTTTATATAAATTATATTATTTTTATAATCATATTTTTGAGATAAATAAAGAGAAATAAAATAAAATGATAGAAAAAGGGGGGGAACTTGCCAACCAACCAGGCCCAAAAGTAGGTCAGAAGCACAATTAGGTGGAGCCATGAGCAAGAGGCTCAAGTAGCTAAAGACAGATCAATAGGGGACATGTGTGTGTCACTCTCATTCCATGTCACTAGTGGCCAGCCAAGCATCAGGCAAAGAATTATTGTATACACATGAGAGAGAGGTTTAATGATTATAAATCTTCTACTATTATATATACGCCTCAAAACTCATAAAATAATTAATGTGGGACTAAATTGGCCTCTCGAATGTTTTCAATGATTTTAATACCTAAAGTATACTTTCTTTTATAAGAACAAGATACCCTTATGATGTCACTTTATAAGGATATTCAAGTACTTACTTATCTTTCTCATATTAGAAGACAATCGACAAGGATACGAATCTTACTTGAGTCAAAACTCATATTTTTATGTGATTAAATTATAGTTTTTTGTAAATTATTAGTGAACGATTAAACTATCAAAATTGCTCAATCATCAAAAAAAATCTTGTCAATGTGATTCATGAAGTATCATTATTAAAATTATTAAATAATTTTAGATAAAAAGATTGTTAATTCATTGAGTAAATTATCTTTAATTCACTAACAAATAAGTTGTTGTTGGAAAGAGGATGATCCACCAAGAGATCAGGTGTCATCTCATAAGTGTACTAGATATAATGAAGAGCCTCCTCTTGCTACACGAACTTGAGGATGAAGTCCTTAAGATGTGCACCACCGTCATTCAGTTCATCTTTGTTAGGTGACAACTGTTGGAGAGTTACAAAGTCATTATTTTTCTATTCCACTAGGTGTCAATTGTTAGAGATGATTTGATGACCTATTTCATTAATTTTAAAATTTTGCATAAAAATCTAGAGATTTTTTATATCATCCTTGTCGAATGAGAGCCTTTGAGGCCATAGACATTGTAGGATAATCCTTTCGAATGCTCAAGATTTTAACGCATCATCGTCGCGATGTCAGAACTCTATTTTACCATTTCTTAACTAGTTTAACTTTCACTATTACTTTCTAGACTTTAAATGGAGATCGAGTAAATGTCTAAGTAGTCATCCAAAGAGAGCATTTAAGGTTGTAGACGTCTGATAACTCAAGTAATGATCATGTTAAAGGGACGAGAGGATTATTATTTAAAGCCTAAGAATATAAGAATATGATGAGCACACATTTAGTACTCTACTTATGTATTTTTATATGATGATTTTACATGAATTAGTTATTTTCTCATTTTTTTCACTAGAGATGGCATTCAAATAAATATATAGATATTCATGTGATTCAAAATAGTTTTCTACAAGATCAAAAATAAAAAATGTTTCCATATCCAAATGAACTATTTCAAAAAATATTTATCTTAACTTGCATTGTTTTCCATGCATGAAATTCAACATCTTTCATTTTTAGAAATCACTAATTAAATGATCAGAAGTTTACTCAAGTTTTCAAACTATCTTTAGCCTTCTCTTCTAGATTCGTGCACCCATGTTGCATATTTCATTTGTCTCTTCTTTTTTTTTATTATTATTATAAACATCATAGGGAGGTAGCTTTCCTCATATAGCTTATTTTTCATGTCTAAATCTCATATGTGGAAAGCCTCCAAGAGACAAGTGGGAAATCCCCATAGAAGCATTTGCACTCACTTTTTTTTTTATCTTGTCCTAGTCAGTCTCACATATAGAAAAGTCTCTATGGGACAAGTGGGAAATCCCCATATACATTTTTTTCGTGAGTTGGTTCTTACACTTTACCATATGATGATTTTTCTTCTATTTATATATATAAGACAAATGGTCAGCTATGTAGGATTCCTCATACTAAGAATGTCTAGCTTCTAATAATTTTTATATAATTTCAACCTCATCATATCTAACTTTATGATTCTTACTAATTCAAAATGCGAATTCATAACATATGGATCATGATCATCAAGATATATTCTGAAAATATTTCATCCTTCAATGTATTACATTTTTTTTTCTATCCTTGAAGTTACTAAATCTAACACACTTTAAGCTTCATACTTAAATGAATCTACCATCCTATAGAAAAAATGTAGAAATCCATGAATTCATCAATACTAATTTAAATTTCCTTTCTATGCTAATTATTCATGAAATCAATCTAATTGAATTTTCTTTGCTCCCGCTAATTAATAGAGGAATTGTCCTCACTTACATGAAATATTATCAAATTAAAATGCGAAACAAAAGATATATACTCATAAATCAACAAGTATAAGATGATAAAACATAAATGTATGAGGTATTACTAAAATGAAATAAGGAGCAATGAAATTCTAAATTTATTAACTACAAAGTACAAATTAAATTCTGCAAAAATAAAATTATTGGGTTGCCTCCCAATCAGCACTAAGTTTAACATCTTCAGCCAAGCACCAATCTATGATGATTCCATGAATGTTATGTCATCATCTAATGCCTCTTTCTTATAATAGTTTTGGTCTAATATCTTCATAATTAATCAACTTCCTTAACATAATTCAATTCCTCTATGCAATAATTAATTACCTTAATATCTTCATAATTATCATCTTCCTATTTTAAAAATCTTGAACTTCTAAAAATATTTAAAGAGATATTTTGACCTTCATATTTCATATTTATAATCCTATTTTTGCAATCAATATTTACCTTCACTGTAGTAAGAAATGGGCATCCTAATATGATTGGTGCACGAGTAAGATCATCTAAAACAAAAATATCTAAAATAAAAAAATCCACTAAAAATTTACATCTTTTAACATGGATGATGGCATCTTCTAGGAGACCCCTGGGTGTTTTAATGGATCTATCAACTAGCTGAAGTTTCACTAAAGTTGGTAGTTCTAGTTTTAAATTTTCAAAAACTACTAAAGATAATAAATTAACACGCACCTAAATCTATGAGGACATTTCTAAATATAGTTTCACCCACTTTACATGAGATGAGAGGTGCTCTTGGATCCTTACATTTCCTAGGCAAAGAATGAGAAATAATGGGACTAGCCTCTTCAAATAAAGATATCTTCTGAGGTGACCTATGAGGTGTGCATAATTCTTTTAAAATTTTTGTATATGTAGGTATATGTTTGATTGCATCTGTCAAAGGAATAGAGATCTAAGCTTATTTAAATATTTCCATAAGCTCTTCATTATGTTCAACTATTTTCTTAAGTTTTGATTCTAATGCCTTCGGTAAAGGGACTGTTTTTCTAAGTTCATCTTCTGTGATAAAATGAGAATGGGTAGTACTTCTGATTTTTCTTCTTTTGATTCTTATTTTTCTTTCTCTAAATTTTCATCACTAGAAAATAAACTATCATGGTCATTATCATCATCATTCAGCACTTCATCATCATGAGCCTATTTTTCTAAAATTTTTGGTGCATATGGATCTTTGAGTTGCTTTCCACTCCTCAAAGTGGTCATTGCTTCTACATTTTAAAAACCTTAAGATGTAGATGGTTCATGGCTATTAGGAGGTTGATTTTGTGGGTTCATGATGGGTTGACTAGGAAGATGACCTATTTCATGTTTTGAGTGGGCCAAGGCTAATTTACCTATCTTTTTCTAGCCTAAGGGTTATTTGCTGATTTTCTTGCCTAATTTGCTCCATCATCTTCATCATAGATGTATTTGTTTCCTAAAATTACTACATCATTTGTCCCATAAACTGTTGCATCAAATTAGAATTCATATCATATTCATTTTGATATGAATTAGGATATTGTGCTCTGAAATTGGGGACTAAGCTTGAAAAAGAAGGGATAAAATTATGGATTGGTGGCTGATGAGTACCTTGCTAGAAACTATGAGTATTTTGCTGAAAAGAGGGCTTAGCATTATAAAGTGGCTGATGAGGAGGTCTAAACGTATGATTAGGTCTAGGAAATGATTGAGAATTTATGGTATGATTTTGAGAATTTGAAAAATTGTTCTGATTTTTTGAAAGAGGATTTGATTGATTCCTATGATCATGACGTGCATGTGTATGGTCTTAATCTAAATTTGGACATTAAGATTCAGAATGATCAGTCCTACCACATGATAAACATCTAGGATATGAATGTTTTGCAGGCTGTGTAGGTTCTTTTTCATGTAGGAAATAATCATATAAAACATTAAAGTTTCTAATGTCTAATGGATTATGATTTCTAACCTCAAACATTTCTCTTTTATTTTCATTATTGCTGTGATCATATAAAGTAAAAGATTCACGTTCAGCTGAATTCTCACTCAAATTTTCATATAATGTATAAATTTCATCCTCATCCTCACTCACGAATGTGCCTCCAAATGCTGCATCTATAGTATTCTTGTGCTATTAAGATACACCATCATAAAATATACGATTTAATTGCCATTTGGCAATTCCATGATGTGGACATCTCTTTTGAAGCTCCTTGAATCTTTCCTAAGATTCATGGAATGTTTCTCTTGATTTTTGAGTAAATTGGAGAATGGCTTTCTGTGGCATGATTCTTGCCAACAGGATAAAATTTTCTCAAAAATGCTTGCTCTACTTCTAATTATGTGGTGATCTCATGTGGTAATGATGTGAGCCAATCTCTAGCTTTATCATGCAATGAATATGGGATGAGATGTAACCTAAGTGCATCTTGAGGAATATTAGGAATATGAATAAGTTCACATGCAACTAAAAATCGAAGAATATGCTGATGTGGTTCCTCATTAGATAACCCACAAAATCCGAGAAGCAGTTGTAGAGTGCTAGGATGAATATCAAAATGAATATTTGGTAAAATAAGAGGTCTAACCTACAAAGTTGATCTATATAAATAAGGTGTATAATAATCATGCATAGGTTTATAAGGTTGAATATTTTCAACATTCTCACTCTCTTGGGTTGGATAATTTATCCTAGGTGAGTCTACTTCTATAGAAGATGATTTTTTTCCTTTTTCTATTGTTTGAGTCTCTAATATGGGTGGTAAATTACGTTTTTCTTGTGTCCCTAAATTCTTTGATTGATTTTAGCTGGATTTTCTAACATTAGTTGCAAGTTGCATCTACCGTTCATAAATTAAGTTTTCAGAATTTAAATCTAGCATTGATCATTACATGAAGAATTTAAATTAAGTTGCGTCTTTGACATATTTAAATCAGAATTTAAATATGTCAAAGAGAAGTATAGAATTAGTGAAAAATTAAGACACTCAAGTAAATAAATAGAAACTAAAGATTTAAAATTCTAACTTATGAAAAAAAATAGAAATAAAATGAGCCTAATTTTTAGTTTTTTGAAATAATATTTGAATAAAAATAGTGAAATAATGAAAGCTTTTTTTTAGAATCACTAAAATATATATAAAAAAATCAATTAATACTGATTAAAAAAAATCCCTAAAATTGGCACCAAAAAATGGTGTGCACTTATTGTTGTAATGCACACTATCTAATAATATTTATAAATAAGACTTAATAAAATATTAATATAAGAGTAAGTCTCAAGTAGAACACAAGGAGTTTGATTAATCTATTGTGAAAACTAATTTAATTTTTATAAAGTGATTTTAATATTTTATTAATATTTAATAGAAATAATAAAATAGAAAAGTGAGGTGAGAAGAATAAAAGAATGGAAGTAGAGAAAATAAAGAAGGAAAAGAGAAAAAGAAGAGAGAACTCTCACAAGAGAGAAGGAAAAAGATCTCTCACAAAAGGGAGAGAAAGAGAGAGAGGAGAGAAAGCTGTCATGAGAGAGAGAAGGGATAAGATCTCTCATGAAAAGGATAGAAAGAGAAGGAGATGAATTGAGCAAGAGGGAGGGAAAGGGAGAGATCTCACAGGAGATAGAGAGAGAACATAGGTCTCATGAGAGAGGGAGAGAGAGAAATAAGACGAAATTGAAGTAAGAGAGAAATATAGTCAACCCATTTTCTCGGATGAAAGTGTGCTCAAGAATTTACACACATGACATGAGGTCAGCCGTGAATGTCTCCAGCTTGTTTTAACCATTGAATGCTCATTAATCAGCCTTTAATCTTAGTGATTTCACATTCAAAAATAGAAAAATACTCGTTATTCACAAAATATTGGGAACATGAATATGTTGAGATTTGATTGTGAAAATCAATAGAAAATTAGTTGAAAATGATCTTAACTTAATCTCAAATGAGTTTCAGAGGATTGAGAAGAAGAACAAAGATCATTCATCAAGTTTTGAATTAATTCTACTCATTTCAAGCAAAACGTGTATGAAACGGAATAACTTGCCGTAAAATGTAAATAAATGACAAAAATAGGTAAGTAAATGCTGAAAGCAGGAAGTAAATATTTGCCCAAGTTTAGTTTACCTCTTGAGTATTTGGAGACACCAGTGTGGCGGCTTAGGTGTTTTCAAACATGTCACACCACATCGGAAGCTGTAGAAGTACCATTCGGAAGCATTGTGCTGCTTCCTGGGGAGATCCACTAGAAGAGGGGTTTGATCATGCTATCATTGTCATTTGGGGGGAGAAGGGAAGAGTTGACCACTCGTTGGGGGCCTTGAGTGTAGTTGATGGAGGAAGGAACGAGTTTTGTCAATCTAGAGATGATGATCGTGCAAAAAGAGGGAAGAAGAGATTGCCGTATTAGCAACTACCATTGAGATTTTAAAGATAATCAATAATATCTATTTTACCAGGTAATAATTGATTATTGTGTTTATATCTTTTGTGATAATATGTGTGAGAACTTAAGTTCTCAGTATTGTGGCACTTTGCATGCCGTGGGATGAGATATGCTTGGTCACGTGGCACACTAAGCGACGTAAGATCAACCCATTGAGAACTATTATAGATCAAGAACTTAAGTTCCTAGTACTAAGGCACTGCCTTAGCCGTCGGATCATCCTTTAAGGCCATGTGCGTACTAAGTTGTGTTAGATTCACGAACTATTGACAGATCACTTTACGCATCTAGTATTGTGGTGATTTGCCAACTACAGAACATGGCTAATCTAATGACATGACTCGGTATGTACTATTGGATCACACCACACTCCAGATGGCTACATTGAAATAGAAAAAACCATTTAGTCCCACATTGGTAGTTTGCCATCGTTTAAGCTGAATATAAATCAAAGTTTTTCTCTATTAGTAGAGATCCCTTCTCTCAAAATAAAATAATGCCTAGGACCATCTCGGGAGAAGGTAATAAGGTGGTCCACCCTCGTGCACACATGTGTGTACGGGCGCTCCTTGCCCCATGACCGGTTGACCATAGGGACTGATAAGTCTTCATTATCATGAGTTAATAATTAGTAAATAATATAGTTTTAGCCTTAACTCATGATAAATAGACTTATCGTTGTGTTAAAGCATGAAAAGTGGTTTTCAGTTGATTAACGTGAATTTTTGGGTAATTATGTGATTTTATACGATTTTTACAGTCTTAGTTTTGAGATAAATGAAGAACAAGAAATAAAAATAAAAATATTGCAAAATGGGGGGACCCGCCGGCCAGCCGGGCCCGCAAGCGGGTCGGAAGCGCAGTCGGGGAGTAGCCGCGAGCAGGGGCTCAAGCGGCTTGCTTGGATCGGTAGGGGCACGTGTGTGCCACTCCCCTTCCACGTCACTGGTGGTCAGCCGGCTGTGGGGCAAGGAGTGGTCGTACATGCACACAACCAATATTGGACTATATATTCGCCCGAATAATCCGCGCACAACCGATGTGGGACTAAATCCACCTTGTTCAGGGGCGGGCGACCGCCGCGGGTTCAAATCCTCCCAGAGTCAAAATTCATATATTTTTAACTGATTATCGCGACTTTCCTGCAGATCGCCGGTGAAGGATTAAGCAATCGGAATCGCTGGATCATCGGCGAAAATCTCGTCAACGCGATTCGCGGAGCATTGCTACTAAAATTTCTGAACGATTCGCGATAAAAGGATCGCAATCCATCGAGTAAATCATCTCCGATTGATCGACGAACAAGCCGTCGTCGGGAAGAGGACGATCCGCCGGGAGACCAGTCGCCACCTCCTGAGAGCGTACCAGATGCGATGAAGAGCCTCCTCTTGCTGCGCGGACCTGAGGATGAAGCTCCCTAACACGCGCCTCACCTCCATCCAGCCCCTCTCCGTCGGGTGACAGCCGCCGGAGAGCCGCAAAGTCGCCGTTTTTCCGCTCCGCCGGGTGACAGCCGCCGGAGACGATTCGACGACCCACTTCATTGGTCTCTAGACTTCGCGAGAAGATCTAGAGATTGCCCACGTCGTCTTTGTCCAAGGAGAGCCTTCGAGGCCGTGGACACTGCACGACGACCCTCCCGAACGCTCAGGATTCTGGTGCATCGCCGACGCGTCGCCGTCGCGACGCCGAAACTCTGTTTTCCTGCTTTATCTAGAGATTGCCCACGTCGTCTTTGTCCAAGGAGAGCCTTCGAGGCCATGGACACTGCACGACGATCCTCTCGAGCGCTCAAGATTCCGGTGCATTGCCGACGCATCGCCGTCGCGACGCCGGAACTCTGTTTTCCTGCTTTCAATTTAATTTACGCTTCATTTAGTGTTACTTTGTTGATTTTTATTTACCAAACTATACTTCGTTCAACTACGATTCTTCCGGCTTTTACAGATCTTAATTTGATTAATTGAGTCGTCTGTAATC